ACACCAGGTGCTAAGATGTCTTCGGTGCATGACAGCTGGGGGAAAAAAAGAACAGAATAAATCCCATTCATACTGGCAGCTTCAAATCCACCAGACAGCCACCAGAGTGACTTAAAAGAAAACACTGAAAGTGCACTAAATGGGCCACGAAGGTAGAAAAGAAGGGAACACTAGCAGAGGAAACAGAATCAACTTTTAAAGGGAGTTTGTGGTCTAAGATATGTTTGTTGTCACACTTCATTTTTTGACGAGCCAACATCTCTCTCAGGATCTAGTATGAAAACTGACATTGAGTTCCCTCTGTATATCTATCTATCTATCATCTATCTATCTATCTATCTATCTATCTATCATCTATCTATCTATCTATCTATCTATCATCTATCTATCTATATCTATCTATGTATCATCTATCTATATCTATCTATCTATCTATCTATCTATCTATCTATCATCTATCATCTATCAACTATCTGTCTCCACACTTTATACCAAAGTAGGCTACACATTTAGAGCAGCTTTGAGCAGACTTCAGGCTTGATGGATCCACTTTGTTTTTGTTTTGTTTTGTTTTCCTTTTAAGTAGAACCCAAAAGTCTTGGCAAAAGTCAAGTGCAAAAAACCTAAAGTCAGAATCAAAAGAATGGTGTGCTTTTGATCATCTTCTAAGTCTAGGAGTTTGTTTTCTATACCAGAACTAAACTAAACGGGGCTCATAATAACATAAGATGGACCTGCTGGTTCAAGACTGTTCTCCTAATGGCCAACCAGATGCCTGTGGAAAGGGCACAGACATGAGTGAAACAGCACTCTGACCACCTGAAATTCCCAGTAACCGGCATTCAGAGGCATAATGCCTCTGATAGTAGAGGCAGGACAAAGCCATTGTAGCTAGTAGCCATTGATAGATACTTGTCCTCCATGAATTTGTCTAATCCTCACTTAAAGCCATCCAAGTTGGTGGCCATCACTGTCTCCTATAATGGGAACAAGTTCCACAGCTTGCAGACTTTCCACACAAAAGTCCACTCTGGTTCACTCCATTTCAGCAGCCTGACATAGGTAGGAAAAGCTACATTGTTAATGCAGTTATTTAAAATTGGAGAGTCAAAACCCCTGGGCAATGTTCTGTGAATCATCCAGAGGTCTACTAGTTGATCCCCATCTACCTTCTGCCCACCTTTGTTTTAGAGGGGGCCCTGGCAAGATCTTGTCTGCCATACCCCCCCCCCCCCCAGTAATCAGTAGTGTGGCAAATTCTGAAGTACAGGAACCTTTCATGATTACCTCATGATTTCTTCCTCTGGGCTTTCACTGAAGCACTGGCACCTGGGAAGGTTGCCAAGTGAAGACCACTGCTGATATGATTTGTGAGATTAAATGGCATTCACAAGGACCTTTGGTCACCTGAAAAGAAAAATAAGCTCAATAAAATTGCTATTTCCCCACTTGTGAGAATTCCACTGAAGATTTCTCTGCCCTCTGCTGTGTTTCTGTGAATGCCATGGCTCTGGCATGTCTTCTGGCCTCACCTCTTGACAATTGGGATCACTGAACAGGTTTCATAGGGTTATATCCAAAGTAACACTAAGTAAACCTCCCATCAGTACAAGGATTTCTGTTTGTGCAATGGGATTCACTCCTCATCTCCCCTTGATTTAGTTATGGGTTATCCCTCAACCCACCAAAGCAGATTTGGGGAAGGTGTGAGGTCATGGGGGGGGGGGAGAGGAAAGTGAGCCTCCACTGGAAATCTATCATGTTAATTTACTCTCAACAGATGGTTTTTTGGATTCAGCCTCCCCGCCCCCCTGTGAATGTGCAAATTTTCACAGGATGACATAATCACAATATGTCACTATATTGCTGAGACTTTGATGCTAAGTAAATCAGATGACATCAATATAAATACCAGTGCTGCACATAAATTCAGCCCTCCTTTCCACAATTGATTATGCACCACCCTGCCCCTAAAGTGCCCTGTGTGTTTGCCATTTAATAACAGGGAAACAGATGTACAGAAAAAGGAGGATCCATAACCTGGAGCACATCTTTTTTATTAGCCCACGAATCCCTTGCATGTTGCAGAGCAGCATAAAGGCTGGAATTGTAAAAGATGTACATGTCGGAGGAGCTTGAGAGAGCTGACAGGGATAAGGAATCATACACCCGAAAGAGGCTAACATAACTCCGTTGATGTTTGTAACACAGTCACACCCATGTTTGTGAGCATTTGCTAATTCATTACAACAACTCTCGCACTGCTTTGTTCTTGGCGACTGCTTAAGATTACATGCACACATACACACACCTTACATGGCATTTGAGTACTTTGCAAACACTGACAGATGAGAAGCATTTGCATCCCAAGCACTGAAACACCTTGAGAGTTTAAAAAGAAAAACAGGGAGGCAGAATATCAGGCTGAAGCTTTAAACAAGAAAGGTCTGTGATCTGCCGAGCCCAGAAATTACTTCTCCGAAGTCTGAACCCTCCATCAGTCAAGGTTTACATGTTGGTCTCTGGTGAGGGCGATGCCACATATGCACGGGAGCTGACTAGGGCCCCAGGTTATGGGTGCCCAGTGTGTGATGTCATGATGTCATGTTGCGATGTGACGTCATGACGTCACGCACAAACCCCGGCCTCGGAACCTGACTTCCGGTGGCATCAGAAATCAGGTTCCAAGACCTCGCGAGACCTCAGAAAGTATCTCTGAGGCATTGAGAAGCCTCACGTATGGAAATTAGCTTGGTGATTGGGACAAGGTTTTTCTTTTTGGAAGACACTCACGGCTTTTGAATGAACTTCCAAAGCATGTGTGACAACATGGCTTCTTCCATAAGGCCAATTTGTTTAAGTAGATATTCAGAGGCTAGCTAAACTCTGTTGAATTCCAAAAGGATAAGGATGTCTTAAACACTAACAGATTTATGGTGGCATAACCTTTTAGGGACCAGAGTCCACTTCATTCAATGCACTGACTGAAGCAAGTTGCAGTCCATGAAAGCATATCTATGCATTATGCTGATCCCAGTTAATTCTCCAGACGGTTGGATACTTAACATTCAGATTGGTCCTAATGACTTCAATGAAAGCAAATGTGAAACTTGTGATAAAAGAACGGACATTTCCTACAGCAGAGTCGGGATCCAGGCATTTTACAAACAAGCTGTGGTTATCCATCAGTCTTCATGAAATAGCTCATCAAATTGGCTTTTAGGGAAAGTAAGCATGATGGAAAGCTCCCCATGAAAAATCACTTTGAACGATAAAGGTATTTTCATGAAAGCCACTTACATAATTTAATAGATTAATGTGGTGAATATCTCGACTATGTCATGGTATCTAAAGGATTGCAGCAGTGGGTTGGATGTATTCAGTGACTATACAGTGGTACCTCAGGTTAGAGATGATTCAGGTTACAGACGCTTCAGGTTACAGACTCCGCTAACCCAGAAATAGTTCCTTGGGTTAAGAACTTTGCTTCAAGATGAGAACAGAAATTGCGTGGTGGCAGCAGGAGGCCCCATTAGCTAAAGTGGTACCTCAGGTTAAGAACAGTTTCAGGTTAAGAACGGACCTCCAGAACGAATTAAGTTCTTAACCCGAGGTACCACTGTATATAGATCCACATACATATTTTGGATATTATAACATAATGTACTTTACAGACTGAATCCTCTGTCAAGTAGGACCTGTTGAAGAATTAATAAAGTGAAAAGACAACACAGGTGCAGTAGTGCTATTGGGCTGCATGTCAATCCCTGGCCCTGAGGTCATGTTCCGATAAAGTTCTGCAATAGGCTGCCTTGTATTGTGTTGATTTCTCATTGCATTTATATCCATCTTTCCTCCAAGGAGGAATATTTGATCCGCCCAACAACCCTGCAAAGTAGGATAGGATGAGAAACAGTGACTGGCCCAAGGTCCCCCCAGAGAGATTTTGTATTTGCGAAAGCTCCCTACGCAATTTAGAACAGGGTTCTAATTCACACGAGGAGCCTCCATGGATACAAAATGGCTCCTTGCTGCAGAGATTCACCTACATAACATGAGGGGCTAGGTTAGGATTCACTTGACCCTGGGTTGTGGGGCTAAAGCCACCTCCCCATCGAACCTGTGTTCTTCACTCCATTAGCACCCGAATAATGGCTAAGGGTAGCTTTACTGAAGACATCAAATTGACAAATTATCTCACTTGGGAGTACATTCCCTGTCTAGCATCTATCATACATTTAGGTAGGATGAGGTTGTGTGGGAAGGATGCAGGGAATGGTAGCAAGATGGTAGAGCTGTGTGTATCATGTAGCCTGCCTCATGCCCCCTAAGCTGTCCTCAGGTACAAAAAAAAAAAAAAAGGCTATGCCTCCATCACCAGTGTTGAGTTTTCTTATTTACTTATTTATCATCTTAACACAAGTGCCAAAAAAATTCAAAGGTATGTATCTAATACATATTCTCCGCCAAATGGGAATAAATATGAAGTCAAGAGTGCCTCTGAACACGTGGAAAGTGTTTCACTTCACCACTGCACTACCGAATGGTCACAGCTAGTCCTGTCAGGAATGCTCTCAATTAACAAATGCACCTTGTTTATTCTTGGTTCCCTGGACTACCAATAGCGCACCACCGTCACATATGATTGGAGAAACACAACACATCGCAGGGCTGAGCCTGATGATTGCTAGGTGTTGTGTTTTTCTATTTTGCCGTTGCATGAATTATCATCCAGTCAAAATTCAATAGAATGTGAACTGAGGACAAATATCCCATATAAACCCTGTATAAACAAAAGTGACATTTATCATGCCCAAATTTCTCATTGTGCAGTGACAGGCAGCTTCATGACAAGGAAGGCGCTTTATTACAGCTTTCCTTTCTAGTGCATCTGATGTGCCTGAAGATTGATAGCTGCATGGGAGGCTGTCTTGTTTGGTTAGAGTCTCTCCTCCCTCTTCTTTCTCTCTCAAACCCTTCATTATTGAAGGTAACACTTAAAACGATGCCAAATATAGCAGTTCAACATCAAATGTAGCTGGGATTCCAAACTTAGCAATACCTTGAGCTTGTTTGGAGGTTCTAGCAGGGGAGCGCAGCTATCGTATACCCTTGACCGAAGAATGGTGCACTCCTTCTATCTGGGATGGTCGTCCTCTTCCACCGAGCGCACAGCTTCGGGAGGGATGCACATGGAGCGGTGAGGGAGGAAGGGGACACCCGCCTAGCCAGCCAGATCAGCCGAATCAACCCTGGCGATCAATGGGGTGACAGATGTCGCAGCCAGATCGCCCTCACATCCTAAACTTAGCAATACCAAATAGGTGGCACCTCCTAATGTTGATCAAAGCTGGTTAGGTAGGTGCTAGGGATGAGTTAATCTGCCAATTTAAGTTGGTCTCACTTCCTTGGTTTTCCAATCTTAAATTCAGTTCTCCACAGTTCTGCATCAGTTTGTGATTTACATAAATAAAAATCCCGATGAAAATTCACCTGCATTTTAGTGCAGAATTATCCTAAAGTACAGTCGTACCTCAGATTACAGACGCTTCAGGTTACAGACTCCGCTAACCCAGAAATAGTACCTTGGGTTAAGAACTTTGCTTCAGGATGAGAAAAAACGCACAGCGGCGGTGCAGTGGCAGCGGGAGGCCCCATTGGCTAAAGTGGTGCTTCAGGTTAAGAACAGTTCCAGGATAAGAACGGACCTCCAGAACGAATTAAGTTCTTAACCCAAGGTACCACTGTATATATTTTTGCAAAGCATTTCCCCCGAATAGAATGTATTATCATAACTAAATAAAAAAATTCCTTGAGTCTCTAAGGTGCTACTGGAAGGAATTTTTTTATTTAGTTTCGACTACGGCAGACCAACATGGCTACCTACCTGTAACTAGAATTATTGTAACTAAGTTCACCCACAACTCCTTGTGCCCCCTCCCACTAAAGGGAGACACATGTCAGCAAATACTGTACCAGCAGAATATTTAGGGCAATGTGACCAGTTCCACCACACTGGGCACTGAGCCTAGGGGGTGCCACAGGGCATCACAACTATGACATAGTGAATTGAGCAGAATGGAACAAAATGCACAGGGCGCTGCTGAAATTTGAAAGACCAAAGTCCACACCTGCCTGCAACTGAATACCTTGTATGTCCCAAATTTATATCCCACATGCTCTCCATGGAACTCAAGGTGGACTATGCCCTTCTCTGAACAATATCCTGAAGCCAGTTAGGCTCAAGAGACAATGACTACCCCATGTCTACCAGTCTAGTAGAAGCTATCCAAACAAGGATTCAAATCTCAGTCTCTGCAGTCTGCCTGCACAATCCAACACGAGTCTACTCAGAAGCAAATCCTACAGAATTCAGGGGGACTTGCTTCCAAGTAAGTAGATATAGGATTGTGGCCTAACACTCTAGCTACTAATTATACCTTATCTGCTCTTAAATTGTATTTTTGTGTTGAATTTTAATTGCTGTATGCTGCTTTGGAGTCCCGTGTTGTACGGAAAGAAAGATTTAAATATAATGAATTTGTACACTCTAGTCAGGCCCAAAATTTATGTGTGAAGCTTTTCTTAAAAAAATGTCTGACAATCTGCATTCCCCAGCACCTCCTTCCCAGCTAGGAAAAAAAGACCACTATGCAGAATTATTTCCAAACATTATCAACTATTTTTTCCCCATGTGGGGGTGCTGTTCTTTCTCCATTGCAGATGAATCTTAGATCCAGGGCTTGGGGAGGATGCAAGATGGTAGCCAGGCTGCCAACATAGTTGTTACAGTTGCTGCTGCTATAATTTGCAGTGGCAGCAGGAAGACATCTTGGTGGAGGGGATAAACTGTGCTATTGCTGCAGCTAATGATGAATTCCACTCTGAGAAAATAGGGAAAAAATGATGAAATGGTTATGTGACAATCCCCTACACTGTTGTTCTGCTGTCCAAGCAGGGAAATGGCCCAGGAACTCAGGAGGTATGGCTGTGAGAGCTTCTACTGCTGCAGACCAAAGTCTGCCACTTGAAGCAATTGCTTCATTCTGCCTAATAGTAGGCCCATGTTAAGTGCCTCAAAGAAGGACCCAGTAAGTACTTAGGGTGGTTGCACTTCAGTTCTCAATTCAGAGAATGCTTCATTATCTTCACCTTGGTCCATATGGACCAAAGATCAGAATTTTGTCATTTGCCAGGATGAAGAGTGACATTCCCTTCCTGTGCCTCCTCAGTTGCTGGTCCTCGGATGTAGGGACAAGAACGATAAAAAGAGTCACAAGGTTTGCTCACTGGCATCTCAAAGGTTTGCTCAAAAGTCATGTTCATCATTCAGGAGGTATGACACTTGACATTTTCCCTTGTAAGAAGCAATTTGTGTAATAAAGCTGAGAGAAAATTGCATTTGTCAGCTTGTTAGATGCATTTGTCTCTCTGAACGTAATAAACTAGGCATGTGAAATGGATAAGAATTGCAGCTAGTTTTCCTTGTGACTTAAAATCTAATTCATCATGAGACATTTCCCCTCTAGTTTCCCTCGTTCCCTCCAACTTTCCTGGTCCAAATATAAATAATCATTACCTGCATTGCTAAAGAAAACATAAATGTACACCTAGGATATGGCTGACTGTTGACATTACAAATAAGGCAGAATATAGCCACATGTGTAATAATGAAACATAGTCTAAATCCATCTGTTCTAATTTTTCAGCGATAACATTGGTTAATATAATATTTTAACAGAAAATGAACCAGTCACATTTTTGCCGGGGGAAAATAAAACATACTGATACTGAATGTCCTTTATTCTCAAGTTTCTATGGCTGCCCAACTCCTTTTATGTTTGGTGCATGGAACATTTGGCCCTCCAGATTTTGCTGCTGCACTACCCCATGTGTCAGCTGTTAGGCAGGGAGGCTGGGCAGCCTAAACAAAGGCCTGCTGCACCTCCAGTCTCTTCAGAGCTTCCTCTGCCTTCACTGAAGTCCTTTTTGGGCACTGGGGATGATCTCCTCATGAGCCACAAGGACTCTCCAGCACTTTCGTTCAATTTCCTGATATGATCCTATTTATTAATTAATTAATTTATTTATCTATCTATCTCCCAGTGCCATGCGTATACATGGGCATGGGTGAGTTGGTCACACATAAGGGGTAGGATGCCTGTACTCATTACTTGGTCTGAGAACCACAATGCAAAATTCAAATAGACGTGTCCATTTTGAAGGTTGGTGACATTTTGGTTTGCATAGTGTTTTAGAAAGTGTGAATTAGTTAGATGTGCAATACCTGAATTAAATTTCCCCTCCATCTTTGGTAGCTACCTACGACTGCTTAACAATTTGTTCAGGTCAGCTGAGATGTAGGCATTTGCCGAGTGGCAATTTAATGTTTACATGAAATACATATATGAGCTGAGCAGAGACTATAAAGTGCTGTTATATCCAATTTAACCTTTACTTGTCAGCTAATAGGTGTCTGTCTGGGTAACTACTGGGAGAAAGAAGTTTAGATTTATGTGCTTTTAAACAAAGTGGGTTTGCAATAACCTTAACTGCCAAAAGAAGTAAATTGTTCTGCATTTTACAAGCATGGGAAAGATAGTTTCTCCTACTGCACTAAGAAAGTAAAGTATAAATGCAACGATTTTGCAAGATTTTAGCCCCACAGTCCTTTTAAATGTCAGAATGTATACTGAAAACTTCATTCTGTTTTATACCCTATCTCATCCTTAAAATAAAAAAGTGTTATGATTTCCAGGAAGAGTCCTTCCTTCCTTCCTTCCTTCCTTCCTTCCTTCCTTTCTTGTAAGACATATAAGCTAAAATTTGTTCCCTAAAAACATTGATTCATTTGTTTGTGTCTATTTTTTCCAGATGTCTGCAGACCAAAACTTGGGCATTTCTTCATTCCATAGGCTCTAATGATTGGGAAATGAGTCAAATTTGAACTGTTTGGATCAAAACATAAAAACGTATTTCAAAGTGTCATGGCTTACTGTAGAGAAATCTGAATGACTACTGTAACAGGAATGCTGTTGTAGTCAATCTCTGGAATTGTGTTTAGCTAATGGCAAAGATGTTTCCTGGACAGCTAGAAAAACCAGTCACCAAAAACCATTTCTTATACCCCACTCGTCTGACTGGGATGCCCCGGCCACTTTGAGTGGCTTCCTCCAAAAATACAGGAACAACAACAAACAAATACATACATTGAAAGCTGTGATGGCTGGTGCCTATTGAGTCTTATATAGCCAAAGGCAGGGTTGAATATTAAATCCCTCTTTCCAGGAAACTCTGAGAATTGCAGCTCTGTGAGGAGAATAGTGGTCATCTAACTCAGCATCCTTAAGAAACAACACTTCTCTGAATTATCTGGGGGGAAGCCATGACTGTTTAAAATGGTATGGTACCAGTTTCAATTTATAGTGCATAAGGGGTCTTGGACTGGATAGCACTTGCAATAGAGAGCTGACAAGCCTTAAAATAGAGAGGGGTATGTCTTCCATAAAGTAGGTCACAAGATGACCCTACTTTACTGTAAGGGAAGTGGAGCACAAACCTTGCACCCGACCCATGAGAATTTCACCAAGGTTTTTTTCTCTCCCCTTTGATAATTTCAAAGGGGAGAGAATGCATTTTCTTCTCATTGACTGAGGATGTTCAGTAGACCCACTGAAATTAATGGACATTATGAACTTTGGTCTATTAATTTGTATGGGTTTGCTATGAGTAGGACTTAGTTTGATACTGTGATTGGCAGGAAATATGAAACTTCTGGATTAGTTGACCTCTTCTGGCATTGCTTGGTAAACAGAAAATTGACACCTTTCAGGCTCCAGCAGCTTTCAGGGCTTGCTGCCTCTTCTCACCCTAAATGTCTCAATCTGGGTATTCCCCCCCCCCACCATCTGGGTCCTGACCGCGGGGTCATCCAAAAAGTCACAGTTCGCTATTCAACTTAAATATAGGAGGTTCTTGTCAGCCTAACCAAAGCCAAAAAGACAGGGAAACTCAACTGAAAATAGCTATTTTATAGGGGCGAAGTAATTTCACATCCATTTTTCATTTTGACAGGGGTAGTTTCATAAGTGTCACAGAGCAGAAAACAGGACTACCGCCTAGGTCTCAGCAGGACAAAAAGGCTAGAGAATAAAAAAGCACAGCTTTTCAAGCTCCGGTTGACCTCGGTTTTTCACTCTAATCTATATAATCTGCCAAGCAATCACAGCTGAATGTCTATGACAAAATTAAGGGAGGATGAATGAAATTGTTTAGCCAGCAAAGAGCTGTACGAATACCTAG